TAAAAGAGAATGTAGGTATGTGTGTATATGAATGTTCATCTTAAACTCGAGTACCGTTATCCCAATTGATATGAATGAAACATCACATATAGAAAGGACGACATGACTCCCGACAAACCGTACGTTACTCGTACTGCCGCATAGATGGCGCTGGTCGCAACGATTTTTATCTTTTGAAGTTGAACCATAAGTAGGATTGATATCGACGCTTGAAAGGCAACCCTAACTAAGCGACACTTAGCAAATTTTACAGGAGAGTGATTTAAAGTTCAAATATAAATTTAAAAAATCATAAAAATTCAACCTATTGTTCGATTTAAATGATGATAACACTGGTAGAATTAATTTTTTTGTGGCTATTGAAATTGTCACAATAAGACAGCTCACACTTTTATAAACACCAGTTTGTGTCGGGTAGATAAAATTTACCTGATTTCATAAACAGGTAAAATTATATAAGTCATCACTGTAGCATATGCTGTAACATGTAAAAATAGGTAAATTTACTTAGTTTAAAATTTTGATACAGAAAAATTGATCTAAAATAATCAGAGTTTAAATTAATAAATCAAGTAAATTTACCTAACCATTATTTAATGATTTTTGTGATTGTGGAAATTCTATCTAGTTATTAAAATTACTCCAAACCTAGCTTCGTAATTGACATTAAATCAAAAACTGTATTGGTAAATCAAGCACAAAAATAAATGAAATCAATTATGTGGAATAAAATTCTTTATTAAAATTAAACAAATGCGCTACGTACAAAATTAAATAAGGAAACTAAATAACATTTAGTCTGAGATCATCTTAAATTGAACAATTGTTATTGCAGTCGCAATCATAAATTACACTATCATGAAGATGACTCATTTTCTAAAAAACTATAACTAACAATTTTAGGTAAATGAATTATCATGAATAAACTATTAAACATAGTAATGTTTTCAAGCTTCTGGACTGAAAAGAACGTGGTATAAACATCGATGGCGAATACATCACCCATCTTCTATATGCCGACGTATAGTTATCATGGCAGAATCGCAGGCGGACCTTAGTACTATGCTCAATGACCTTAAACAGTGCCTCTCAACCGGTGGGCCTTAATATGAATATGGACAAGACGAAGATCATGTCTAATGTTATTGTTGGGAGCACTGTGCTCGAATTTGTTGACCAATATGTACATCTAGGACAATTAGTCCGGCTAGGTAAGTTCAACTTCGACGCAGAGGTCAATCGGCGAATCCAACTCGGATGGGCAGCGTTCGGGAAACTTCGGCAAATCTTCTCGCCGAATATACCTCAATGTTTGAAGACTAAAGTCTTCAACCAGTGTGTGCTGCCAGTGATGACATACGGGACTGATACGTGGTCCTTCACTGCTGGCCGTATGAGGTAGCTCAAAATCGCTCAGCGAACTATGGAGCGGGCTTTGCTCGGTATTTCTCTGCATGATAGAGTTTGCAATGAAGACATCCACAGTAGAACAAACGTAACCGACAAAGCTCAGAAGGTTAGTGAGCTGAAGTGGCGATGGGCCGGCCATATAGCTCGTAGAACTGATAACCGTTGGGGAAGAAAGGTTCTCGAGTGGCAGCCTCGTACTGGCCGTCGCAGTATAGGACGACACCCAATAGATGGAGTGACAACCTGTTCTCTGCAGATCTATGGGGGATCTCGGTTAAGGTGATCAGTTCTATTATTGATGCTATATCGCCTTACCTAGCAACTATTTTTAATATTTGTATCAATCGTGGCGAATTTCCTGGCCTTATGAAACATACTAAAATCATTCCGGTGTTTAAATCTGGTAGTACTTCCGACCCCAATAATTTTAGACCTATCCCTGTACTGCCAACTCTTAGTAAAGTTTTTGAAAAAATCATGTTTAATCAAATGTTACAGCATTTTAGCTCTCATAATTTATTACATAACAAGCAATATGGGTTTACTAGGGGTCGCTCAACAACGGATGCGGGTGTTCAGCTTGTTATGAATATTTTTGAAGCCTGGGAAGAGTCGCAGGATGCCTTAGGTATATTCTGTGACTTAACCAAAGCTTTCGATTGTGTACAGCATCAGACCTTGTTCAGGAAACTACGCCACTATGGTATAAGAGATGCCGCACTCAATCTTCTGAAATCGTACTTGAGCCATCGAATACAGAGAGTTGACGTGAATGGCAAGAGATCTCCTGGGGCCCTGGTAAATATGAAGGTCCCGCAGGGATCTATTCTTGGGCCTTTTCTCTTCCTCATTTACATAAATGATCTACCTTATCTAGTTAATAATAATCATGAGATAGTATTGTTTGCTGACGATACCTCTTTAATTTTTAAAGTAAAACGACGTTCTTTAAGTTATGACGATGTAAACAATACTCTATCCACTGTAGTACATTGGTTTAGTGCTAACAATTTACTGTTGAATAAGAAAAAAAATTAAATGTATTAAATTTACAACTTCCAATGTTAAACATGTAAAAACTGATGTTCTTTTAAATGGAGAAGCGTTGGACCCTATTGACTCAACTGTATTCCTTGACATAACTATTGATGCCAAACTGTAATGGGGCCCCCATATTAATAGACTGGCGAGTAGACTTAGCTCAGCAGCTTTCGCGGTCAGAAAAATAAGACAGTTAACTGATGTGCATACGGCTCGCTTGGTATATTTTAGTTATTTCCACAGTATAATGTCTTATGGCATTCTGCTTTGGGGTAACGCGGCCGACAGTAATACAATCTTCATCTTACAAAAGAGAGCTATTCGTGCAGTTTACAATCTGGGCCCCAAAGAATCATTAAGAAACTTGTTTAAAGAGATAAAGGTATTGACTGTTGCTTCTCAATACATTTTTGAAAATGTTGTATGTCCATAAAAATAAGGATAAATTTTCAAGACATAATAATGTTCATGATATAAATACTAGGAACAAAAATAAATTGATCCTACCCACGAGTAGACTGCGTAAAATAAGTAAATGTTTTATGGGATAATGTATACCTACGTTACTACAACAAAATTCCAGAAAACGTTCAAAATGCTAGATTAGATTTGATACGATTGATTCTCTACTTAGTCCTGCCAGAGTGAACTATTATTTCGCCTTTGTGAAACTTTAGTAGAGGAAACTAACAATACCCGTAATTCTTAGGATTTTAATAAGAGCAAATGTTTGCGATTCTTGCGAGAAAATCTTACCGAATTACGAAACAGTTTTGAAATATGTGCTATTACAACAACGGGATATCCTTTGCCAATATGTATGCATAACTAGAAGGCGTAACATTCAGACAGAAAGATAGGTATACATAAAATATGGATATAAATTATAGCCTTTGTCTTATTCTGATGAATAAAGCTATATTATTGTAAAGTTTCGTTAAAATCCATTCAGTAGTATTTGCGTGAAAGAGTAACAAACATCCATCCATACATACAAACTTTCGCGTTTATAATATTAGTAAGGAATCATTAGAAACCTTGAGGGTTGAGCTATTTCAAGACTAGCAAAGGATTAACACGATCCTTTTGATGAAGAGTTCAAGAGGGCAATGGAAACAAAGTAACTAATTTGAAACATTTGTAAATGATAAATATTATACGATATGTATATAATAATATACGCTTCAAAATCCAAAAATAAAAAAAAATTGTTTCAAACACCCATCTTTATTCCTAAACTATAAAAGAAGCAAAATTAACAAGTATCTGCAAAAAGAAAACATGTGACCTTACATAGACATTAATGCTTTATAAATAATTTATCTTCAAGAAAAAACACCAATAGCACTCAATAATTATTTTCTTAAATATTTATCAAAGTTATTAAGACATAAATACATATCTATAACATGTAGTAACATTTTTAACTTTGCTAACATTAAACAATAAAGTTTAAATGTTTGATTTTTTTAAATTATGAAAATTATCAATACAATAGTTGACCCTATGCGAAATCTTCGCATAGTACAGTGAACAGCCGCCGAATAGTAATATACTAATGTCTAAATAAATATTTATCAATGAACAGGACTTTAAAGAAAAACTGTTAAAATTCAGTCTACTTCGCCATCTTTCATTAAATTGTCAATAGACATAATTATATTAGATTGTGTTATCATACATTATAAGGAGTACATATATTCGTTTTAAAGGAAAGTTTTTTCTTGACTTTATTCTATGTCTATTTTTTATCAATAGTGGCAAATATATATTTTTTTAATTTTGTTCATATCTTACATTTCATGAAGAATCATTGAAGTAATAGCATTCTGACATCAAATAACACCTTTGGAAAATAATATATAGAGATTAATGTTTACACAGTACGCATTTACAACTATACTTTCATGAAAATTGTTAAATATCCATGCTTAGCTATGTTGTAGCAGAACGCTAATATTATTCACATATTTGTATATTTACATGCCCTCAAAATAAATTACAAATCTTTATAATATTTGTTTGTTTTCTATTAGCTTTTCCGTATTAAGAAAAGTTCAAAATGAAACATTATTTACAAAAAAAAATTAAAAAAGAACAATCTTAGAGGTTATATTAGATCATATAAAAATATTAATTATTGACTGTAGTGGCCCTTTGTTGATCGCAAAGTAAAGCAGTATATTATTCTAATCAATACATTATCCCGTTCAAGGAAATATTTTATATACATACAAAATTGCATAAGTTCTGCAATGTTATAAAACCTAATAATTTGACATTGATAAATCTTTTAGAAAATTTTGTATTATTGTACTGTTGTATTATTAGTGTTTTACAGAATTTAAAAATAGATCATCCACAAAAGATTTATCTGAATTTTAAGAGTATTAATCAGCACATATAATATAAAAATCATTGATACATTCACTATCTTGATTGATCACTGTTTTCTTTCTTCTTGTTTAAACTACATCCACTTATCTATCAAAGTCAATTTCCACATATTGCTATGCATAATAAGCAATTTGTGGACGGGTTTTGTCCTAGTTGTTTTTGACTGGAGGAGGTTTACCACTTGCCAGCACAGACTTCATGGTCTTCATCATAGATGGGATCAGAGCCATGTGCTTATCAACACATTTAACAGCACATTTCTCAAAATCTATGGTGCACCTGTCAATCTGAAAATTGATAAGAATATTATGCTAATGAAAGTTAAAGTAAAAAAAAACACATGGGTACAACAGGTAGCCTTATCACTTAAACAGCCATCTCTTCCAGGCAACCTTAGGGCAGAGGATTATATTAAAAAATAGTTTTTGTTCTCTTTTTATTGACCTTACAAGGATGAATTATATCAATTTTTTTTATATTTTACTGTGGTAGGAGAACATAACCTTTACATCTATTTATTATTATTTTAACCTTTTGCATTTTATTCAGTGAATAGGATTAGTAGACACACACTATCTTTGTTTCAGTGACACAACTCCAACATTTCTTAGGTTTCTGATATTCATTTAAGACAATCCTGGCCTATCATCAGATTAACGGGTCATTCATTGAAATACAAATTTCGTTTCAATTTGGGACTTGTTTTCTTTTATAAATAATTTAACCCCTAATGCACTTGATACCTTCCAATAAAGCAATATAATAAATAGCAATAATTCTTACTGTCTCTTGGCTTGGGTCTGGACCCAATCTATCTCTTGCTGAATCATTGCAGTCCATAACGCATCTTTGTAATCTATTTTGAAAGTGGTTGATCTCATTCTGGAAAAATAAAATATACTCTTTTACTTAAAATAAATACATATCAAGTAAACTAACAGCTTATACAAATCTCACTGCTGGACAAAGACCTCCTCTGTACAGAGGGTATTAGGGAATAGTCGATCACTCGACCCTATGTGTATATTGTGTTCCTTCACCACTGAGCATGTGATAATTCAGCACTTAAAATTGACAATTTGTTGTTTCTGGTGTTAAAATTTGAATTAAAAGTTTGCGCCTAAACACTGAGTTATTACAACTCTTATGTACATATATACATACATAACTTCATTGAAAGTAGTAACTGTCCCAAATACTTATATTTGAATGTAAGCAGCTTGCTGTTGATTGAATATTAATAATGTAGCCAGCAATATAATAAAAATTAAGTATTCCAGGAAACTGCTGTTTCTGTGTTTTATCTAGTGAGAAACGCAACAAAAAGCATTTATCACTTAACATAAAATGAACCGCATGTATAGTTGCCACCATCTCAGTCACTTACATGACATGTATAGTTCACGCACATTCAATGTTATTCAGGAATTTAAGTGTTTAGCGGTTTACATTTTTTATGGAAAAGCCATTAATATTTTTAAATTAGAGTTTTATTTTATTATTTAACTTACCTGAACATAATTATTAGCCTGGTTAAGTGAAATTGTGCAATTATCAATGCATCCATGAACTCTTTCTAGTGAAACTTGTGCATCATCGCAGCATTTTGCTGCACATCTATGCATATCACCCTAGAAATATAGCAGATATGTTAACTGATCACTGAAATTTCATAATTTTAGTACTTTTATTTAGAGGACAAATGGGAAACATTTTAAATTTACCTTACCACAATAGTTTTTAGATTTATTTTCATGTATATATATATTGGCTGTTTAGATATAAAAATAAATATACATATTAAATTAAAATATGAAGACATGCACTAAAAAAATGAGAACATTCAGTGATAATATAAAAAATTACCATAGAATTTAAGGCCAATATTTTTTAAATGCATCAATTAAAATATGCATGACAAATAATAAATATTATGTTTCATTTGACATTGATTACCATTCCACAACAGATGGGATCCCTACATTTATTTCTTAAAATCTTATGTCTGTTTGTATATTAAAATAACCGTTTTTTACTAAATGCATATGGATGTATATTTTTTACAATTTTTGTCTGTCTGTCTGTCTGTTTGTTCCGACGAATCTCTGAAACGGTTGGACCGATTTGGACGGGACTTTAACTGGCGGATAGCTGATGTAATAAGGAGTAACTTAGGCTACTTTTATTTTAGATTATTAGCCAGAATTTTTTTTTATTTTAAATTCCACACGTACGAAGTCGCGGACACAGCTGGTGTAGAATAAGGACGGGAGGATGATGATGAAGAACACCATCCATACTATCTGCCATAACCTATAACATCTGTTTCTGACCTGCATTTTTCTTAAATAACTTCTGTCTAACTCGTTGACCAAGTTAGTCATCTCTTGCTCAATCCGATATTTCTGAGCTTCCACCATTTTTTTATTTTTTTATATTATTATTCGGCACGTTTTCTAATGTGAGATGAACTGTTCGGTATTTTTATCTTGACTTTTAATGACAAGAGCGACATTTGATCACATTTGACAGTTTGACATAAGTAGCTAACAGAGAAAACGTGAATAAACAGATAAATTATTTTATTGTTACAAAATATGATATAGATTATATATATATATAATCGAGTCTCGGGGTGATCTGGTAATCTCGACCAGCTGAAGGTTGGTCGATGGTGTGGATGGCCAACGAGCCAACCGTAATTCAGACCGCGATAGCGTCATTTGCGGGTGTACACAGCGCTACATTCGGCGGAAAAACAACATGGTAGCGCAGCCAGCGTTTCATAGCATATACGGAACACCAATTTCATGGTGACATTAACATCACTACTCAGGAAAAAAAGATTAAATATTAAGCAAATTCATTCGTAAAAGCTTTTAGTATCTACCCAACTCTCCCTCAGACGGAAAATCCGAGGAGCCGCCGTGTTGTAAATGTTTCAAACGATCCTTGGTACGAATTAACGCTCAAGTTAAATATTTTCATTCTCAGATTGCTGCAACAAGGCCACGGCGTTGTAGGCGTCAATGATCGACACTAGGCGACGCATTCAGTTTTAAACATACAACAGCGCGTTTTCTAACAACCGCCAGTTCCTCGATTCATACGTCTCATTGTTATTGCTACTTAATATCAAGTGTGCATACGATTGCTCGCTCGCTTGTTACGTAATTAATTATGAAACTTTTAATTTTCTAAAATTTAATGGGTATCGTGAATTGAATATTTTGTAAATATATTGCGTAAATTGTTTAATTCTCGTAAACTAGAAATTTTAATTTTTCATAGTGCGTAGTACTCTGCACTTTACTTTTTCTACAAATTTTTATCTCGTAAACTAATTATTTTTGAAAATATTTTTTTGTATACGGTCATTTGACATAGATAATTAATGTCTGGTGATTATACCACTGATGTGTACATCACTATCAATTTGCGATCGATGCGAGGTACAAACTTCTATATATTATATCTTGAATCTTACCGTACTTCGCTTTGTTAGTCGAATTTTCCACATTTCGTTAATAGAGGTCATGGGGATGCAGCGAAGCGGACGGCATCTTTGGGTCTTCATTGTGCACCAGCTACATTGTTCTTCTGAGTCTGCCGCTCTTCTCCATCGGAATAGGCAATCGGAATAGCTAATACTTAAAAATATCTCATTGTATAGAAGGTATCCATAACATTGAATTAAATAATTGTTAGAAAAAAACAAAAATAAATGGAGACAGATAAATAACTGTGTCGGGGCCCTCGCCTTTAATTCAATATACCAGAGCAACCCGATTTAAAATCCTGGTGTTGGCTTCAATGAAATTGTTAATTTTAAGTGTTGATGCTAACTAATCACGTACTCAGCATCGAAGAACAACGCTAGACCTGCATTTTCGAATAAATATAACAAAAAAACTGTTTCGAAGATATGTGAAATTCGCCAATCCGGACAGACCTGCCAATTCAAGCAATAGGCCCTACCAGCCACACAACAGTCTTTTCTGTTTCAGTGTAATTACGTAAGTAAAGAACGTTTACTCTTATAAGAAAAAAAGTTCTTAAACTCGAAAACATAATATTTTTTATGTTTTTGTAAAACCGAAAATTACCTTATTCATGATATACGACGATTTTACGAGTATATATACAAATACGAGGTAGGTATGACACTAAAACGCCGTAACTAAAGTATTCAAATTACGCCAATTGGTTTAATTAGATTGCATTTCCGTAAACTGCTATCTCTTTCCGTATCATACGTTCTATGTAATTTGTCACATTCTCTTATATAATTATGTGATATAATGTAAAGCGGAAACGTCACACAGTATGGACAAGCCTCATCTTTATTAAGACGTAATTGATATTAATATTATACCTATAAATCAATGTACTACTACATAAGAGGTAATTTGTTTTAATTAAGGTTTAATCAAATAGAAATAAATAGGAAAGTAGATACTAATGAGTGCATAAGTTACTTATTGCTAAATTACCTGATAACGTTTTATCGAAATAATTTGAAATGTTATTGGTCAATTAAATGTAAAGTGTTTCTTTGATAGAACACGATTTTAAGATAACCTTTGCATAAATATTGGAAGTTTTAGTTAGTTGTTACAAAGCACAAGTTGTTTAATAGAAAGTAACTTGGATTTCACGAATAACACAAAAATGGCCAAGATATTGTTTATACTATCTTGCTCAACTCTTACTCTGTATCAAGTGAGTTGATTTGTAACGATACAATATGTTCTTTTTAAATTGTTTTTATTAACTTTGTGTTCGTTCCAATATACTGAATATTATTAAAATGTGCTCATTATACAATATACATCCCCTTACTATAGACTTAATTTTAAGTGTTAGTTATTACTAAATTTTCATTGTTATTGCTAACCATTTTTACCATTTCAGATTGCAAATGGACAGTGTGTCAACAGACAACCAACGTGCAACAGTATGAACGAAGCGATTGTTGAAACGCCTAGAAATATAATCTCCCAACCCATGGCGACAGCATTCTCCCCACAAAACACTGCTGTAGAAAGTCCTTGTGACTCAATCCACCAAATGCCAAAACCCAATGTTATCCCAACGCCCACAACGATTATCACTGATTATTCTCCCGCTGTATGCAAGAACCTTGCTGATACTTTGCAGCTTATGGTAGTTTGCAATCTATTACAAAACGCCAAAGGAGGTTCAGAATTAGCTTTAAGCCTCGCGTCGCCGATTATAAATGAAGTTCTTTCTTCTCCGTCATTCTCATGCGGATGCCGGAATCCCCTTTATTCGAACTCTGCTCCACCAAGCTTAATAACTGCACCCAATTTTAACCCGAACGTTATTACTTCACCCAGTTTTATTTCAGGCTACCCATCAGCCCCGTTGGGGAGTCCGTGCAACAAAGGACTGTTGTCTAACATCATAAGTTTATTGAGAAATTTAAATTAATCATGTGTACTTTTATGAATTCTAACTTAAGCTATTAAATTATTTCATAATTAAATATTATTTATTAATATCTTAATATCTCTTATTTTATTAATATTTCCAACAAACCAACCCTTTATACCGATTGGATCTGTATTAATCATTACAAGTTTTTGTCAAGTTTTATAGCAGAAATGATACGTAGGCTAATAATGAAGGAAATATCTTGAAATATACCACACATCTTTAAAGTTTTCACTACTTAAAAGGAGATAAGTCACCACATGAAAATGCAATACAAAACAATTGAGTTTTATGACATTTAATTTAATTACAATAATTAATTACCCAAAACCTTATCATACCTAGTAAAAATACGAACTGCCAATGGGATTACTTCCATAACCACATCCACAAGGTAATGGTTCCACGTTTACACTGACACATGGCAGGGATGCAGGTATAGTTCCAATGTTACAAGTTAACTGAGCTGGTATAGCAGAAGGGAGCAGTAACTCAGCCAGGGGTCCCATGCTACCAATTGGACGTACAAATTCTGCTAAACCGTTATAGCCATTTGGTACAGCAGGTGCCATTTGAATTGGTCCAATTTCTTGCAATGCTCCCATTAGATTTGGCTTTAGAGTCTGCGTATATACTGGAACATTATTCGCAACAGGTGATACATATTCGATCCTACCACTGCAGTAGTTTGACGTAGTAGCGGGAAATGTTGCTAAATTGGGCAGAGGCGGTAAAAATTCTCCGTGAAAGTTCGGCAAAGGTTCAATATATTGTCCACATGTCGGTGTGTAATCGTATAATGGTGAACAAGTAGGTGAATAGTCGATAATTGGTGGCACATAATCGATCATTTGTCCACAGGGAGGTATGAAATCTATTACAGATCCACATTGTGGCACGAAATCATACACTTGTCCACAGGGAGATATGAAATCTACCACCGATCCGCATTGGGGTACAAAATCATAGACTTGTCCACAGGGTTTTATATAGTCAATAACTGGTCCGCCTTCGGGTATAATATCAAGTACCGGGGTACAAGGAGGTATAAAATTTACTACCGGTGAGGTAAGCTCAACTGATGGTGTATAGACTATTGGTTTAGGATACACCGGCTCACATACAGGATTAACCACAGGAGCAGAACGAAGCCCCAGGGCCGTATTTAAAGTAGATTCTATCAAGTCACTGACTATAAGTAATTGGAGAACATTTGCTAGGGCTGTAGAGAGAGAATTATCAATTATTGTTGTTCCAATGGCAGGTGTTGGTAGCACCTGAGGGGCTGATATGATCTGCGGAGATGGCGACGTTGTCGGTAGAATTGTGGGATATATCAGTGGATCACTGCATCCGCAATACTGAGCTCGAACCTGAAATAAAAAGTACACGGAATAAACACGACGTTTGAGGTTCAAATATAAATTGCTTCTCATCTAAGTCGAATCAAATCATAATTTTGTTAAAAATTACCGTATAAAATGTCTTACCCTGCATAGTAGGAGAGCAAAACCAAAAAGAACAATGTTAATGTCCATTTTCTTATTTAGAGTGAAATTTGAAATTACCTTGATGCTTTTATACACTTGTTTTGTTAATGAATGCAATCCGCCAACGTGTCATAACAATGTACAAAAGTGATAATTGTTACAATACCACGAATCAAAACGATAAAATTTATTAACCGAGACACTAACACATTTTTTTGTTGTGTAAGAACTGTTTTAACAGTTGTAATCGTATTGTAATGCAATTAAAATAATAAACTATTTATTCATTCATAAAATCACATAATTATGTCTGAGGTGCTTGTATGCTTTTTAGGAATTTGAAAAACTTTTCAATAGACAAATATTAACAACCCAAAAATATTGATAAATGTATGTTTGGACTAGTTCTGTTCAAAACACATTTCCTTTTCACGATTACTTTAATTTATATCGGACTTCCATTTGATCTACAA